TACTAGACATTTTTAAAAATGGAGAATGCAAAAAGTGTCAGAGAGTTCCACAGACGATGGGATAAACCATTATTGCCCATGTCCTGAAGGGACGTGGCAAATAGAAAAAGAATTAGAATTATTAAATGTTTTAAAACTGAAACTTAGGTCTACCGATATTTGGAATATAATCAATCTCAAGTTAAAAAAAAATGGCGCAACATTAAAATTCTATTTAGCGCTATCATCAAGGTCAAGGTTGCCCAAAGCTCAATTTTAATTTGCGAGTTGAAGATCCTCAACAAAATTACAATTAAGCCTTTTGCAATTGTATGCAGAAATGGACTGCGAGGGAAGTAGAAAAGAGAGAAAGAGAGAGGGGGGAAATCTCTCTGATTCTCGTCACTTCCCTTGAGTTTGAAATTTCCTTAAATTTCAAATGAGTTAATATAATTACATTTGAATTATATCTTTTCTTCGAAAAATCAGCTGTTAAACTTGAAAAATGCGGTCAATGAAAATTCCACTGTTTAATATATGAGATAAAGAACAAATAGGAAACTTTTATAATTCTAACATGTTTCGCTTTTATTAAAGCTTCGTCAGAGAATAAGATATGGAAAATAAGAAGAAAAAAATTCTGGCATTTTTACTTTTGTGTTGTTTGATTTTCATTGGTCAGCTAGGTTTCATGTTCCTTCGGCTTTTTAAACAAACGTCAACATAACTTGTGACGTTCTGAATACAAGGAAAGGCGACCCGCCCATCCGAAGAAATTAACGTATACCAAACGTACCTGAAAAACCGTAGATGTTGCTATATATATGTAAGTGTATAATAATTCTAGTTTTTCTATGTGGGGTGCGGATGATAATGCATATTCGTAACTCTGTATGTGTTTGTGTGAGTAGTAGTAGTAGAACTAGTAGTAGCAGATATTATTTTTGTTGGTTTTCGCGCGTTGATTTGGGAACATTTTTACATGCATACCGTTTATTTAGATAAACATACGATAGATAAGAATGGATTCAGTGAAGGTTGATGATGTGATGTAATGTTTTTGACGTGTGTCTATAGTTGGTAATAATGTTACTAATAGGCACTCCGAGTGCTTTCTACGTAAAGAATTATGTTCTTTTTTAATTTGTCGCCAGTTTTGTTCCTGTGTATTATGAGAGAGTGTGAATGTTTGTCTAATATATACCGAGTGTGACAGCAAAATTGTCCAAATCGTGTAACAGCAAAATTGTCCAATTATTAAAACCGTTAGAAATGATTAAAGATATCTTACTGGAATTCTTCGAGGTTTTTATAACACTATTGGACTCTACTTTGAACACTAAGGATGTCAAATTACTCTCCAAGCTTAACAGAAGAATCGTGATGCAACCAATCATAAACGAAAATGACATGTTCATCATTAATTAATCATAGCTAAAGATCGGAAGCTCATGAAGTATTGAATATATATATATATATATATATATATATATATATATATATATATATATATATATATATATATTATTCCAGGATCATTTTCCAACTTATTCAAGACGATCTTCGCCCTCTTTAACCTTTCAACTTTCTGTCTTGCAGTAACAAGGTGTCTCATAGGTTTCACGTACGATTTCATTTTCAAGTCTTTCTTCACTGCTCATTTGACTGTCATAGCTGAAACTCCTCTTTCACATGCCAAATGTCTTATGGATTGGGTTGGATCTTTTCTAATTGATCTCTTTAGCTTTAATTTGAAATGATGATCCCTCTTCCTGTTGTGATCTCCTGATCCAGTTTCCTCTCTACTTTTAAACTTATTCAGGGTTCTACTGATAGTTCTTGAATGGACTTTGAAGGTGAAAGCCAGAGTATGAATGCTGGTACCATTACTAAAGGCTTCAATGATTTTTCCTCTCACCATTGCTGGTACCATTACTAAAGACATTGGGGGATTTTTTCTCTCAAACGATTTTAACCATTACTAAAGGCTTCAATGAATTTTCTCTCACCATTGCTCAGTTATTCTTACAGTGATGGCTGACAAGGTGATTTTAAATTTTTATTTCTAGCTGAAAACCTAACTCAAAGGGTTTTTTAGTGATTTTTTAGATATAAAAAATTTTGTCAAGATGAATAAATGTTTTATCTGAAAAATTTGGTGAAAAGAAACACAATTAGTTTAGTGATTTTTTAGATATTAAAAATTTTGTGGGATGAATATTGTTCTGTATATATTTTGGTATATATATATAGTTTAATATATATATATACATATAAGTGTTTCTTTGTATGTTACTAGGCTGATACAAATATTTAAAATATTTACAGCCATAATATCACATTGGAACACCGGTTCCCGTACAATCAACGAAGTTGAGCAATATCGAGCCTTGTCAGTATCTAAATGGGTGACCGCTTGGAAATAACATGTGCGGGTGGTGTAGTGGATAACGGATCGGAATGGTAAATTTTCTCCGATTTCCAATCCCAGTCGTGTTTGAGAAAGGTAAGAATCCATCTTTTCCCCTCGCTATGGGTTAATTAGTGGTACATTTTTTACAGTAAAGCCCACCCTTTACTGGGGCCACCCGAGATAGTGAGTTACATTAAGGGGTAGTTTATATGGATAGGAAAGGAAAGTAATGGTTAACCCTAGGCTTGAACAGGTTAAGATTGTAGTGATCGTGGAAACATCCCCTTGGGAGTCGGTTCTACAAAGCAGGTAGAGGGTTACAGAGTATGAGGGACAGTTTATGCGGATATGTGGGGAAGATAACGGTTAACCCTAGACTTGAACAGGTTAAGATTGTAGTGATCGGGAAAGCATCCTCTTGGGAGTCGGTTCCACAGAGCAGTGGTTCGTTGGAAGAAGCTGGTCGATGCAGGTATGTGGGGAAGATAACGGTTAACCCTAGACTTGAACAGGTTGTAGTGATCGTGATCATCATCTTTGGGGTCAGTTCATCCGTTATCCAAGAAACCATGTAGGTATGTGGGGAAAATAACGGTTAACCCTAGAGTCGGTTCCACAGCAACAGTGGTTCCACAGAGCAGTGGCTCCGAGAAAGACGCTGTTCGAGCTGAATCACCGATGGAATACGGAGGGAACGTGTGTTGTTTGCTACAATATTAGTGGCCTGGCGGGGCCTAGCCGTGGAGGTCAAACCTGGCGGGACCAAGGAATGTAGTTCGTCCGAGCAGTTTCCATGGAAATGACGACAGAGCAGCGACAGACTCGCCTTTCGTGAGAGGCTGGACGGTGGGTATAATAATTCACCAACAAGGGCTGGGAGACGCTTTTGAACTCTATCAGGACTAGAAAGTGAGGACGGGGTAGCACTTGCCCAAATATGGCAACAGTAGCCCATTTTCGACGGGAGACGATAGCATGAGAAGACAGGTACGTAGTGGGGCGATACAGGAAGCCGACCATTTTACCTGCATCTTTAGCGATGTATCGTATATAAGAGTTCTGCTTCAGGTCGGGTGTGAGTTTGAGGCCCAATATTATCCCAAGGAAAAGTGCCTCATCGAGGAGACAAATCAATAAATCATTACTATCACCAAAAATAAATTTTGACAATCTAAAAATTATTTCCTTGCATTATTTACATTATTCAAACTGTTATCTTCATCTTCATTATCATATTCACAATGTTTCGGCCGTTGTACGCTCCGGCCTTCTCCAGATGATTGGAATTTCGAACCGAACCCTTTATTTCGTCCATCGAGGTAGATTTTTCTAGTTCCACGTGTCATGCCTCTTGCCGGTGTCTCAGTTATTTCCCTTTAACTGAACTCTCCACGTTTTTTGGTTCACCACTGTTGTGGCCTGGTATTGAACTCACATTACTCAAAAAATTTCTTGGTGTAAATAACCTGCAAAGGGTTGATAAGACGTAAAAAACAAATCGACCAATTCCAGTATTTGGTAATTAAAATCTTATGTATGAAATAGAGTCATAAATATTTTTCGTTTTTCTGATATTTTCAAACTTTTCACATTGATATTTCGGGTCCATTACCACCAACAGCATCGCATAATACAATCTACTCTTCCACACCTACATTTTAATGTCTATCGACAGAGCCACTAGATAGATTAAAGTGAAGTGCGAATAGTGTAATGGTTAAAATTTCGGAAAGAGAAATCGGTGAGTCGTGTTCGACTTCCGAACGAGTTCATTATATTCACTTTCACATTAATATTCTTCGGAAATGTACGAATCAATCTCCACTCCCGCCTGATTAATCCCAGTCTGCCCTGTCATTTATGACAGGGCAGACTGGGATCACTAGCTGTGGTTGGCAACCAGTCTAGAAGAAGGACAACTTTGAATCCAAAACTGTATATAGCTCTGGTTAGACGACCTGTCCTTGTGAAAAAGGAAAAGGAGATTAATTTACGTTGACAGACGTGTTGACGACCTGTCCGTGTGAACTGCTTGTCCGATAGTGAAAATGTTGGGTTGATCCTCATTGGTTTAGAATTTAGTGAATTAATGATAGTTATAATTATATTTTATATTATATTTTATTATAATTATTTTTTGACACTATAATTAATTTTTATTTATTTTATGAGGACACGAGTAACAGTACTATTAATTTTTTAGGCCCCGTTTGTATGAGTGCTATTTAATGAAATGTCAACGATCTTTAGGCCAGAATCAATTGAGTCTTCCTTTGCTGTGACGTCTGTTGTGGCTGAATGGGTTCAGGCACACCTGGTTTAAAAGTGATATTTTGATCATACAAAACATAATTTTGATTTAAGAAAGTGCTTTATTTAATGCCGAAATCTAACTATTTTAAACGCAACTTTTTGGATGGGGGTAAATGGTTTTAGTGGTACACGTCTTACTAATTAACCCATAGCAGGAGGGTGAAATGGTGGATTTATGCATTCTATTAGGGACTTTGCGCGTAAGTTAATATAACGAAGCCAACTGGAAATGGAACTCCACCCTCCGATTAATAATTCCGTACCGTTATCTATTATACCACACCTACATCCAAGTTTGCAGCACCTGGTATTCCCAGGCGGTGACCCATCTAAGTACTGACCAGGGTTCGACGTTGCTTAACTTTGGTGATCGTAGGGGAACCGATGTTACAAAGTGATGTGGCCGTAAGGGCGGCTTTTATAGGGATAGCTTCCATGTATGACTATTATAACGACTAAAAGGTCATCTTGACTTAATCTCAACCCAGATGCCATATATATATATATATATATATATATATATATATATTTGTTTGTGTGTAGAATGTATAATATATATTTGTATGGGGTGGGGGTTATAAGTGTGCATGTGTAGAATGTATAATATATATCTGTGTACGTGTGTATGAGTCTATGTATATAGGATGTATAATATATGTGTGTGTATGATGTACAATATATTTGTGCATGTGCGTGTGTAAAATGTATATATGTGTTTGTGTGTGTGTATGTGCGTGTAAGATGTATGATATATATTTGTGCGTGTAGGATGTATAATATAATGGGGATGTCTAATAGAAGTGTGTGTGTATGATGTATAATATATATTTGTGTGAGGGAATGTGTAATATACGTGTGTGGGGGGAAGTATAATATATATTTGTGGGGTAGATACATATGTATGTGTAGGATGTATAATATATATTTGTGTGTAGGATATATAATATTTGTGTGTATGTGTGTGTGTGTGTATAAGATGTATAATATATATTTGTATGTGTGTGTGGGTGTGTAGGATGTATAATATATATATATATATATATATATATATATATATATATATATATATATATATATATATATATATAAGTAGCAGGACAGACCGGGTTTTATACCCTTGGATGGCAACTGGTCTACCGCTGAAAGAAATAGAAAGACTGCGGAAAAAATCTGCCTCGTCAGTCATGTATCGAAAGATACATGATCGCCTAAGGCTGTATCACGCATGGCACATAACTGACTGACGTATATATCGGTGAAAAAAAGTTTCTTTGAGAACAGTGCATGTTTATTATTCCTTTCTTTCAGTTATTCTGTTCCATCCGTTAAGGTGTTAGTATATCACGGATATACGGATGCCTAGAATGGAGAAATGGAATTTGAAATATTATCTCTTTCTTAGCACACCCATTTAACGTCTTCGTTTACTTCTTAATACAATCAGTTCGGGATCTCAGGGAATCGTTGACATTTTATTGCCTCTTATTGTGTTTTTGCGTCATATCATTTATTTCCCGCCAAAACCAACCGAAGCGCGCTAAATGCATTACGCGTTAATACTGAGACCTCTCTTATAGACTACGGCTACATACACTGGTATGTTAATTGTGCTCTTCTGTGTAGCCTTCGTCTCGGCATTTCCTGGCGACCGGCAGAACAATTCCACACGAAAAAGGTTACTGAGCTGAAAACAGGTCACTGCTAGATTTTTCAGTGGAGTGGGAAAATCACGTGACATCTCCCAGGAACACTCGCGAAAAATGAACGCTTCGCAAGAACATGCCCGTAAGCTTTCTCAATAGTATTTGCATTTACAGACATTATGTAATAATTGTTCATGCATATACACTGATATGTCAAAAGTTATAAGTACCTAGTTTCGTTTAAGAACATACCCCTAACCCCCAGAAAGGAAGCAACGATTCTATAAGTGTTCAGAATACCTCTGTATAGATGCTGCGCCCGGGCGTCTCGATAACTGACGGAGATCTTACGTGTATAGGTAAACATTAATCAGGTTTATACTTGAATCTATGTTTGCATTTGAGACTATAAACAAACATTAGAGGGTTTATACTTTTAGTCTATAGGGGAGTTATAACTCTGAGTAAATAATTATAAAGCCACTAACATTTATATATACAAAAACTAGCAGCATGGCCTGACGTTGCCCGAGCTTGATTCAAAAATCGTACGACTCATACAGCAATCGCTATCACTTGACTTAAAATATTTTTGCCCTTCCTTGCCTTTTAAAGGAGTGCCTTTGCCGTGCTGATGTTGCTACATGCCTTACTTCTTGCCTCTCACACTGCGATTTTTTTTCTAAGCTCTATACTAAACATTAAATCTGTTCCGAAAAAGTACTAAAACAAAATGAACACAAAACGATCAGCTTTAAAAAAGGACTCGTAACTGGAAAAACCGAATGAAAAAAGAATGTTAACAACAAATACTTTTTCACATCCAACCCAGTTCTGCGGAATCAGAATCAACATTGAGTTTAAGCAAGCGAATGAGCCAATTGGAGTAAAGTGCCATGCAGATTTAAATTTTTCCCACTTGTGATGAATGCAGCTATCAATTTTTTTACATGCTAGCATGCTAGTTAACATTCGTGTCAGTCAGCTGTTGGCTCTCACACTGGCCTATAGAGTCTTCCTGCCTATTCGTGGCAGCCAGCTATAGGCTCTCACTCTGGCCAGTGGAAAATGGCCGCAAACTACATGAAAACTGCCGTAGAAGCATGAAAAATCGATTATTTCCACTATCGATGGGAGATTGGAAATGCAAAGTCGGTCGTGGCCTTCTCGCTAACTTGGAGCATGTGCATGCAAATTTTGGTGCAAATCCGTCGAAAATTGCGGCCGTGCATTCGTTACACGCATACACACACACACACACACACACACACACACACACACACACACACACACATCCTGCCTTTTATAGATAGAGATACTCGCAAAAATGAGAAACAACAAGACGTGGAAATCACAAAACAAGTATTATTTATCTGTCTATATTTCCGAGATGAGGTGGTCGGAGTTAGCTCCTCTTTAATTCCCTAATTGGTCACTAGGGGACGCTCTCCCTAGACTATAAATACTGGGTGACTTCTTGCCTCGTTCTCTATGTACTTTGCATTTCAGCAGGCACCTTTAAAAGATGTAATCTCTTGCAGAGATTTGCGTTTTGCCCACTTGTGGGAAAATGCCATGAAACACTCACTCACATACACGTACGTACGAACATTCACCAAAATACAAACTCTTTACGTTCACACAAAACACAAATGTTAATGTCTATGTCCATTGTAAATCTTGTTGTTTAATACATATATTTGTATATATATATATATATATATATATATATATATATATATATATCGGTCTTGTCTGTTTTCTTTACTTCTTCGGTTGGACTCAACTTGAGTCCGCCATGTTCTTGTAGTTGAACCTTCTTCTTGCAGGAATAAACACACGTGTTTCTAATTCAACAACACGTAAACCCCCGGTCGGCTATAAGGTATTAGGTACACTACTTACATTGCTCGGACTATCATTCTCATCGTTCAGACTATTGTCCTCATCTTTGTCGCCATATTTATCACAACGTTTCGGCCGTTGTACACTCCGGCCTTCTTCAGGTGGTTGGAATGTCGAACTGAACCCTTTATTTCGCTCGCTGGGGCAGACTGTTCTATTTCCTCAAGGACACATAGCACAGTAGATAAAGGCGTTAGTTAGATCCAGTGACAGGACCCAAAGAGTGTGAGTTCAATACCTGATTCAGGCGGTGGAGAGGGGAATTAACAGGAGATAACTGATAACTGACATCCATTAGACATGGCACGTGGAACTAGAACAGTCTACCCAAGCGAGCAAAATAAAGGCTTCAGTTTGACATTACAACCACCTGAAGAAGGCCGGAGTGTATCACGACCGAAACGTTGTGATAAATACGGCAACAACGATGAGGATGATAGACAGAGCAATGTAAGTATTATTTATTATCTGATTATTATGTGGTGTTGGAGACACGAAGGACAGTAATCATACTTATTATAAAAAAAATTGTGTGTGTGTGTGTTTGTGTGTGTGTGTGTGTGTGTGTGTGTGTGTACGTTTATATATTGGGTCGGATTTCCTACATTTTTCAACCGATTTCAACAAAACTTCACAATTAAAAATTTGGCAGTGGTTCTGACAGTGCCTTGGAAAAAACACATTTGTTTTTGCACGAAATCAATTGAAAACACGATTAAGAGGAATCGTTTTCATATTTATTTATAAAAACCCAGGTTGTTTGTTTGTTTGTGTGTGTTTTTATAAATCGGATTTCCATTTTTCAACCGATTTTAAGAAAACAATTGTTTATTGTCTTGCAATTTTTTCTTTTATTTTTACATTCAGAATGCTTTAAAAATTCAATTTACGACAATTGTTTAGAATAAAATTCTATTCAATCGGTAGACTTAACGAAAAACAATGTTTTTGTTTGAGTTTGGGTTTGACCAATTCGTAAAAAACAAAAAACAAAAAAATAAAACTAATTAAGACATGCGTGTCCGTCAACCTTAAACAATAATCTTTGTCAATTTAATTTTTCAGTCTTTATGATGGTCGATACTTGATCTATCTCTTAGTGTTACATCCCCGGGCAACGCCGGGCTCTACTACTAGTACTAAATAAAATTGTCAGTTTGGGGTCAAATGTAAATCAAATATGGATTCAAATCTGACAGAAGAATAACTTAAAGAATAAGTAAAGTGTATACAGTCTTTCTCTTAGGTTTTTTTTTTATCTTATATTAAATACTTAACACCAGGTGGATAATAGAAGTATTTATTTATTGTACACAACCAGTACAATATGAAATACGGTACAGTTATACACACAGGTCAATCTAGTAGTGAGTGCCACTAATCGGAAGGTCGGGCGTGATGGCGCCGTCTCTCTCTCACTCTTCTCCGAGTCTCTTGTAGTTGACTTTATAAGTACTTACTACCTATAGTGTAATCATTCATGGGGGTGACTAGTTATTCCATTACATCATTATAGATGTTTGTAATGAATGTCCAGATAACTTAGTTAGAAAATACAAACTTTACGTACAATGAAAAACATTTATTTCATAAAACAAGTATTTATTTTTCAACATAATCTCTTCACTTGTTAATGCACATAATTCAATGGAGAATATACAGATACATAAATATGTCCATAGCTTAATAACTGTAGTGAACTACTGCAGAGGGAAAAAGGCTTAGGGTTGCACGAATTTTTTGCAACAGTTAATGTAACACTAGAGAAAATTCATTGCCTCCAGGATGAAAATGGATTCAGACATGTCTTGCATGTAAATTATCTCCAAAAAAAAAATGATGGCTTTGTAGGACATTTAA